TAAATAATGGCTGACATATCGATTTAACATTAGCCCGTTATTATGTGAGTATATTGCAATCTTTTATAAACTTTTGTTTGACTTCTTTAAAACTTCAGCAGTCTCAGATCTTGGGAAACTTGTATATAATCGGGTGTCAACACCGTACTGATGTATGTTACACTGCTCAATATAACCATATCCTATTATCAATGTTCGTTATCTGTGATCTTCTTTTTAAATAAATTCATAATAATGAAGTTTCGTACAGAAAAGGGAGTGACTGTGTGTGTCAAAAGCATAGTACAGTAATGCTTATCGGCAGCCAACAGAACATCATCGAGAACTTTCAACAGCTCTGTTGGAGTGCTAAACCCTTTAGCCAGGCTGATATTTTGGCAAAAGTGCAATTGTATCAAAATAATGAATTATTTGTTTGTAAATTAACTTTTCAACACTTTTGAACCCTTTGACAATAAGCTAATGGGTCTAAGATCAGATACATTCTTTGGAGCACTAACTTTAACTAAAAGCAAAACTATTGCAACTTTCCATAGCGCCGCAAATACTCCTTTCTCGATGCACGAATTAAAAAGGTATGTTAATACGGACGAACGATTCTTGGACAGTACGGTTAAACATCTCAAGAAATATTATGTCATTTCCTGAAGCATTGGACTTTAACTGGGATAGAGCTCAGACTACTCCATTACCTATCAATGCAAACTCGAAGAGTTTATTTGAATGCTTTGACCTTAAACCACTCCTAAAGGTTTCAGTGCTTGAAGGATGAGAAATTAATCTCATAGTTTCTATAAAAGGATTGTTAATTAAGTTTGGATTTCTAAGGTGAAGCGGTATCTCATTGGAGTTCTTTGATATAAACATTTAAATGATAAACATTAAAACATATTTTTTTAAGACTCCGTGCGACTAGTGAAGTCAAGATAGGCTGTATTTTTTATTTAATTTGCCTAATGGAACTAAAATAGTTTGAATGAATATTTTTCTTTAACTTCCCCATACCTATCTACTGCGAAGTATTAATTATTTTTCTTTTTTTTTCCTACTATTACTAACTTACTTGCCATTTAGTTTCACAAAAGGCAGAAATTTTGATTGCAATTTAAAAGAAGCTGTATATTATTAAAAAAAATTCTATAAGTTTATTAAACTTCATTTAAATTGATTGATTGAAAATAGTGGTACTAATGTGCTAAGGTTTTTGAAATAGTAAATAATAAAAACATAGTTTATTAAAATATTTTTTTATTCTCTATCATAAGAAAAGTCACATTCAGTGTGTTCCATTTTAATTAAGTGGAATGCAACACTTTGAATTTACCTCGCATACTGAGAGATATTTAACATACACGAAGTGCCTCAGTTTTGCTTTTATCCTTTTATTATTCTGATATCTATTCTCTTTTTTTCTTCAATTTTCAAGGCTGTTGCAATCTTCTAATCTTGATCATGTTATCGCCAAGCGATTAAATAAGAGCTCTCGTTACGTTCAAATAAAAACAGACAACATAAATCCGAACCTGTAGCCGGTTAAATCCTGACACTTCGTAAATCAAGTAAATAATAAAAAAGCTTTTTCTTTTCACTTAAGAAAACACGCACGATCCAAACTGATTTGATGCAGCGCGGATGTTCGCAAATCGATTTTTCAGTGCAGCATTTGCTTATTGTATCGCTAAAAAGGCTGGAACGCTGAATAACTCGCTAAGCATAACTGCAGGAATGAACATCTTTCTGAATAGTGTAAAACAATTACAAATAAACACAAAAGGGGGCGCAACATTAACGAAATCAAATCAAGTGGTTCGGCTGACGGTATATACCTCTTCCCAATAAATTTTTTACATGTTTATGTATAGGAAAATATAATTGGTGCGCAATTTAAATCTACGTTTTAAAACCAAACGAAAGTCACTCACTCATTCTCTGCCCTACTGTTATCGATTATCATTCAAGGAGCAAACCAAAACTTGCAACATTGTAATCAGTGACACATTGCGGTTCAGACATAAATGTCAATGACATCTGTGGTCCACAAGTACAAAGCCAGAATTGTGAAATAGTAAAAGTGGTAAATTTATTTGCTACAGCAAAAATAATATTTCACTTATTCTGGAATAATGTACGATAGAATCATCATTTTTTTAATTAAAAACAGCTTGTGTATAAGAAAAAAGTATACAATCTGCAGTTTTGAATGTTTTTATCTGTTGTCTTTCCGGTAAGCTATAAAAAAATCACAAAGTGTTCAAAATTGGCGTGAAGTGTATCGGAACCTAATTTTACTTCGGCTCATTCGAGAAGGTCATTGATTATTATAAGTGATATGGTGTTGTTGAAGAAAGTTTTGAATGCCTTCTTCTAAACAGCAGATCTGAAACAAACCACTGACATGTTTGAAAAGTTTAATTTTAATTTAATTTTAATTGAGCTGCTATCAAAACCCACATGAAGCTGGAATGTGTATGCCGGTTGCGAAAGTTGTACATAAATTTATTCCATAATTTACAGCCCCGTTTAAAAAACAATCAAAACTTTATTTTTTCAAACAGGACACACCCTCATATTATTTAAAATTGCATTCTTTGAGGGCCAGCAAGTTAGTCACCATTCACTAAAGAGCAGGCCAGGTGGCGTACGCTGCAGGACCACACTGAGTAAAAATTTAAAAAACCAGAAATTCTAAACAAATTTAAACGTCCGCTAATTGCATTCCATTCATTAATGGAACACACAAATTAGTTTCTAATTAAATTTAAACCGGTATCAACAAAGCTTCGAGCGTTTGCAAGTAAATTTTCCTTAACCGAGAACACGATAAATTACCATCGGAGAATTTTCGTCCTCCGCGACTGAAGCCGTAAAACGAGACGACTGTTGCGTTTAATTGAAGATGCTGAACGGCCGTGTAGAAGCTTCGAAGGGGCTATTAAACGAGCAAACTGACTGTGCAGCATGTTAATATGAAACTTTACTCCCTTACTAATGAAGAAACAATGAATGTTTCAGTTGTATTACTTTCCCGAGACAATAGATAAAATTCCAAGAATTCGCTATAGAAGAACAATATAACATTAAAAATGTTACATCTAAACTGAACACTGTGAACGATCAGTCATGTTGGTTGTTGAGCACCAATGAATACGAGATTTGAATTGACAGCGTATGCGCATTTTGAATGATCCTTCTCAATATCTGTTCCATGTTGACTTCAAAAGTTGCTGTATTATCAGCAAAGGCAGTGGCTCACGAATATTGTCTTTCATGGTATGGAAACCGTGCTCACAGAGGATATTCCTCTCAGCATTTATAAAAAGTCTTTTATTGCTTATACCTTTCTGTAAAAAATTGAAATAATATACTATTGGGTGGTCTGGGCATAGCAGCAGTGACATTAATTTAATTTTAATCTTTGTACCCTACCTAACTTTATAAATATATATTTTTTAAATTTACAGAAAGAGCTTTAGCAAATGTAAAGTTGAAAAAATAAGGATATTCTTTTCTTTAAAGATTTCTCTGCATGATTTTCATTTCATTCAGTTGATTGGCCCCATATATTTGGCATCGACCTACACGTCAAGGAGCTTTTAGTTATAATAATATATGAACGATATGTTTTACAAGACGCAAATTGACTTAAAATTAACTGGATTGAGTGTATTTTTTAGAATTGTGGAGTACTCGGATTAAATATGCCACAACAATTATTTGCTTTTATTGCGGGATTCTAAACATAGGTACCGGATCATGATTTATGGGTTTTTAAGACTCCCAGAAAAGTCTCTGAGAGATGGTATGTTGGAGTCACGAGCGAATTCACTGCACATCTTACTGTTCAACCAATGGAACTATATTCTATAAACACAAATAAACAATCAATCAACACCTCACTATCAATCTTTTTATTAACAATAGTAACTATGTTATGCAATTTTATTAGTAAACTAAAGGTTGATGGAAACTTCACAAATATTCAATTTTTTTTGCAATCTCAAATTTATTTGTTATTCCATCCTATGAGCTTTATATTTGCTTTAATATTCTGAATATATACTTTTGCTTTCTGAAGGCAGCTATACTTTTATGAATAATAATTAAATATAAAATTAATTTCATACAAGTTTTTAGGAAATCCCAAAAGTTTAATCTCAATTGTTGCTCCAGAATTTTGAATGTCATCATTCAAGATGAAAATATTACAAATATCACACCTACAAATTTATTCGAGTTCGAGGCTTATCTGAAGGAAATAAAATTCAACGGTTACAATATGGTCTAGAAATGTCAAGGTATATAATATAGAATCTGAACCATTATATGTTTTTGAAATCAGAAGAAAAAGATCTTTTGTCATAGCAGAAAATATATAGGAGCTTCCCTTTAAAAATAAAAAGCTTGCTACTAAAAGATAATACTGCGAAAATTATACCACTTGAAAATAATTAAAAATAATTAAAAAAGGCTGCCATATTATGACAATATATTTGAAGTAATTATAGATTCAATTTCAAAAATAGAAATAAAGTAAAACATAATTCAAATTAATTTCTAGCATGTATTTCTTGCTTGTGTTTAAACATCTATGAATATCTTGTAATTTCTTAAATAAGACGACAATATAGCGACTTTTATTTATTACTTATCTAATCATCATTTTTTTAATTATGATTTATGAAAATCGGTGTAGTGCTTGCTTTTATTTATAATTTATAATATTTTTAATATTGGCGGTTCGCAAAAAATTCAAATATTTTCAATTTTTTGTTTCTTTCAATAATAACCGGTTTGTTTAAATTTTGCGTATAGAAAAAATGAAAAAACAAGTTTGCTGTTGTAGTCCGCAAGTTTGTACCTGTGATAATAAATTATAGGAACAAATTTTTCACCACGAACATATAAAAAAAATCTAAAATTATATTGTTACAGGTTTGCAAAAAAAACATCATTTCGACTTTCGAAATTTAGAATTTTCGCCGCAAAGACAACAAACTCACCCTCATCCTGGACGTCCGCGTCCTTTCCGGTCTCGTCGATCACCCGAAACGGTAGTTTTCCGACGGTCGGACTACTTCCGTTCTGTATCCCGTTGCTCACCTGTGAAGCAGCCATCGCGTACTATATCCAGTTTGGCGGTCGCGTCTTATAAAATTCGCGGGCAAAGTCGCACGCAGACACCCACTGACGTAGACTCTTTGGCTGCTCTCGATTGGCCAGGTTCAATGTCACCGTTCGGCCGGCCCGCCAGCTTCCAGCTGGGTTAAGGCCAAGCAACAAGGTGTACGCGTCGTTGCCAGTTCCCTGGATATTCGCTATCCTTCCAGAAGAGACGGTAGCGAACTTTACGATGAGGCTCAGTGAACATCGTTAACACTTTTACCCCGAGATGAAAACTGTAAGTTAAGAATTACGCCGTCATTAGGAATTTGGTTTTGCTATGTATTCCTTCTTCTTTTCATTTCGTTGGATATTGGAGAGTTATCTTGGTTCATCTAATTTTACCTCTAATCAACTCGAATAGGAAAGAGTGAGTGTATATCACGTCATAGTTAACGAAACATCTAAAAGCCGATCCAGTTTTCCTGACATAGTTGTAACCACTAACTCAGTTTTGGATTCACTTTCTCTTTACTGAAGGGAACTTAGACACAATCACTGAAAGTGATATTTTTAATAATATACCAATATAAATTATGATTTAACAATTCAATAATATTAATCCATTTTCGTAGCATCTGCCCATACTGACTATTAGTCAACTTTGTTTGAATCAATGCAACCCGCTTCAGCTAAATGTAGAGTATCATAATAGACAAGTGCATTGAGAGAATTCCTTAGCTTTTCTAAATAGCTAGACATGCCAGTACGTTTAGTTTTTTCCTTTTATTTGCAAGCATAATTTCATTCTAATGAGCTTAGGGTAGTTGTCGTTGTAGTCGTCGTCTAATCTAAATTGAAGATAGTATGCCCTTTTTGCCAGCTCAGTTCGCGAAACAGCGGAGACTTCTGTTACAACCTCACAGTTCTGAAATTGACTCGCCGAATAACTGTCGAAAAACTTTATTTCCACTACTAATGGTATAAGTTAGAGATAATAGATCATTAAGGCATTTAAAATTCCTTCCACCACTTCACACGTCCAAACTAATTGTTGAAATACACAAATGCCAACCAGAATCAAAGGGAAGATCGCATATACTAATAATAACAAAGCTCCTTGTTGAATAAAATTAGGTGAATAATATTATTCAATAACCACTACATCGACTTAGTTCAGCTCAACATTTCAGGAATGCTGACTCCTCTGACCCGTTATAAGGTAAAATAATCAGCAAATTGGATTATAATATAATTTATTGTTGTGTGGGAGCTTTCGATTGCTTACACAGTTTTCACAAAAAAGAGAGATAAAGATACTAACTAACCAAAACTATCAACATTTAAGTAAAACGCGCAAAACAGCGTCCTTGAATGATTTCTGAGTTTTTAATATTTTAAGGTCATTAGGCAGATAGTTTGATTACTTTGAGAGAGAACTTGAAAAAAGTATTCTCGTTTTATAAGTCTCGCTTTAACATAATTAATTAAATAAAAACTAGATGCAGAATGTAAAAAATGACAGTTTTGCATTTTGAACCACTTGATTTGAACTAAAATTTGGATATCATAATATGTCATTCAGGATAATCCCACATAGCTACTAGAGATATAGAGGCGCTGCCTATCCCGATAATAAAGCACCTTACGAAGCAACTATAAAACAAATTTCGTTTTTCTACTCCCGTCTGTAAAATACCTAATTACCCACCGATCTAGCGGGCGGGAAGCGTCACTTTACGTTTGCCATGAATCCGAGCCACTTCGGACATTTCCGTGATTTTACAGCACGGATTTGGAAGCAATCGGATATTTTCGGAGATATTTTCCACGCTTTGAATTTTTACGTTTGTTAATTCTGTGAAAATGTATCCAAAAACGGTCGTAGAAAAAGTATAGTATGCAACACGTTCGGTAAACTTTTTAACTCATTCGTTTATTAAAAACTCGCTTCGCTGCGCTTCGCTCGTGTATCTAATAGCTATAAAATCAACGATTCACGAAGTTAAGATTTGAACAGTCTGGAAAATATATGTCCATTAAAAGATACATAAGAGTCTCTTTCAAGCACGTACTAATATGTTGAGCAAATATTAATTCTGAATCGACGAACAACCCTATATTTTTTTATTTGATCATTAAAATGTATGGGAAAAATCAAAAGAAATTTCATTTCATCTACTTTCCCACCAAATACATTTGTTATATTAGTAAATTTTTTTATCGATATGGCAACATCCCGCAGCTGTGGGTTTGGAGATGCGACGAGCAAGTTTTGCGCCGAGGGTTGAGATCGGAACGAGGGTGAAAGCAGGAAGGAATTAGGTCGATCCGAGTGTCTCGTCGGTCTAGTGAAAGAGTCGATATATCTTGGACCGCGTATAAATTTACGACTGAAGTTTATCAATTTATGTTATTGAATTGTTTGGGTAAGGCCGTTTTCGAGATTTACGGAGAACAAATGAGATTTTTATGAGCTCGGAAGTAGAACAACAATAAAATTGAGCAACGGCTTGCGGAAAACGCAGTTTGTGTGTTTTGAGGCCCAATAGAATTTTATATGCAACATTAAATTTAAATTTCAAATCCAAGTACTTGTTATAATATAAAAATTAGGTCAGGTTGTTATATAGTCAGCCCAATTTTAAATGTATACGAATTGTAACATTGTACATCTCATAACATACTAAACCGCCAGAACAATCTGGTATCAGAAAACAATCATAATTGTTAGATGCTTTAATTGACACTACTGACAATCTGCTGCGGGTATCAGATGAAAGCAAAATGAAAGTCCTGATTGTCCTGGATTTCAGCACACATTTCGACATGATCAATCATAAAATGTTTATTTCAGTTTCAGTTTCGGCTTATTAGGTTAAGTAGATTTGTTACCCTTAAATGTGTTCCGAACCACTCTCTGTTGAATTAGATGTGCCACAGGGCCGTATCTTGCTCCCCTTGTTGTATACAGTTTATACTGGCAACAAGCCTTTCAGATGTTATTTTTATTTTAGTGACAGGAAATGGCAAAGCTGGAGATTACCATTAAAATATTATCCCTAATTACCCTAATTACCCATCGATCTAGTGTGCGGGAAGCGTCACTTTACCACGTCAGTTTCGTTTCCCATGAATCCGAGCCACTTCGGACATTCCCGGAATTTTACCGCACGGATTTAGGAGCAATCGGATCTTTTCGGAGATATTTCCCACGCTTTGAATTTTGACGTTTGTCAATTCTGACGGTCATGTCATTGAATGTATTCGTGTTGTTTTGCAAAAATGTACCCAAAAACTAACGGTCGTAGAAAAAGTATAGTATGCAACACGTTCGGTAAACTTTTTAACTCACTCGTTTATTAAAAACTCGCTCCGCTCATGTCAAATAAACGCGTGAGTCACATGCCGTTTATCGCACTTGTTGCATAATATGCTATTTTTCATAACTGCAACTGAATAGACCTACATCTCCCCTGTTGGTTTTTAGAAGTGAATCTAAGGTACACAGTGTTAAATAATAATTATAAAAAATTAAGAACTCCGCAATAATTTACTCAGATACAAATAAATTACTTTGCCAATCCATTGTTTTATCACGGTTCAATTATTATTGTGGTATCTATGCAATTTGTGTCTGAACAACACCCTGTACAGCAAGTACAAAATTCTTGTTTGTTGTTTATTTCCGACGTTCGTTGGCACCGTGCTACACTGTGTTTAAAATTAATTAAGCATGGATCTCTAAAATATCTCTTCAAAAAAATCACTTTTCGTACAGAAGGCAAAATTTTGTATTGAGAATTCCACAACATTGAAAAGAACTATATACTCTGCGTGTTACTCCTACTTCTCTCCACTATTTCCCGTTGGTCCTTCCTTTTTCCTTCCGAGTTACATATCAAAAGATTATTTATTTTTTCCATTTGTTAAGATACTTTTATTACATAGATATTGACGCTTGAACAGTATCTGGTATTGTTAGATGTCTGCATCTTGATTTGGTCTTTTGTTAGCAATAAAATTAATACCACCTATGAATGTATGAAATTTGTATATGTGTATTCATTTATTTTTTTTACATCATTTTTATTTTATTATATAATGACTTAAACAATACAAAAAAATTAATCAAGCTTACAATTTAATTGCAATATTACCAAAGTTAATATCATCATTTTCATTGAACCGTTCAACACTTATAAGCCAAGTTCTCCAAGCAATTGTTCGCCATCACATTCGACTTCGGAACATCTTGCTCCTCATAAATAATATTCCAAGCTTTCATTCACAAGTTTGGCCGCCCTTATGTACATTGCCTGAATGACATCGAACAGCCATCTCCTGCGTGACGTTTCATCGGCTCCAGCATATCGATTGCTCTTGACCCCTACCGCTGGCAAAAAGGTTACACGCCAGATGTAAACGGTAGTAGCAATATTGGAGTTTCCCTTACAACGAGTTCCCAGCGTTGCCAGCATGTCGACGTAGGCAAGGAAGTTGTTTGAAGAAAATTGTTCATTGACATGTGAAGAACATCCAAAAACCAGTCGGATCTGTTAGAGAGGAGAGAAAAAGAGCGTTGAGAATTGGAGACACCTATAATAACCTTTCTCAACAACTCAACGTTCCGTCCGGCATTAATTAAGTGTAATTCTAAGGACTAACTCCAAGGTTTAATTTGAAGAAAAAAGTTTAAAGTTAAATTTTTTGGTTATCTAAGTAATTTTAAAAAGTTAAAAAGATTTTATTATCGCTCTAACTAGAGAAGGTGCCATTCTTTGTGAGAGTCATATTCTGAGTACATTCTTGTACACCTATAAATTTTTTTGATTATTTATATTATTAATTAATTATTAATATATTTATTATGATTATCTATAATATTGTTATAATGCATTAATAATTAATTAATATGTAATATTTTAAATTTTGTCACAAGTGACGAAATTCCATTGTTGCTGCCTATGGAGTTTCTGGGCATACCATTACAAAAAATCTAAGCATTCCTCAAG